TTAACAAATATATTCAGTGTTTCTCTTTCATTCGTTGTCCTCATTTTTTTTTAGTGGTGCCGCAGAGATTCTAATAATATTGCTGTTGTTGTTGTGCTTTTGTGATTGAAGAAGTATTCGATCCAAATTATAATGTATTACTTAACATAAATAGTGTATAACTTTGTCCTTTCTCATCTCCCTATGTTTCATTTTATAGCTTCTACTGAAACAGCGGAAAGCTCAACAACGGGAAATGTTGCGAGCAAAAGCGGTTTTGGATCGTCGTACTCAAATTTTGGCAGAAAAAGAGAGGGAGAAGAAGGAGGTTCTTTTTCTTCGAATTTTTTTTTTTTTTTCAAACATTTATTAATTCATTTGAACTGCGAGGATTATATTCGAAAAGAAATTATAATGTTAGAGTCTCTCATGCTGATGCTGTAGAGTCTGTCATACTGATGTTGTAGTAATATAATTTTATATTTTAAAATTTCATTCTTAGGCTATGTTAACGAAAGCGCGTGCATTGGCGTCGTGTCTTACATCACAATATAAATCACGAGCAACATACGCGTTCGGTAGCAGTACGCCTCGTGAATTGGAATATTTGACCCATCTCACTAAAGAGCAAAAGGTTTCAATACTTGCACCTTTCAGATTTTTGGATTAAGTAATTTTGTTCCTGAAAGTTTATCAAATCTGTTTCAGGTATATGATCGCAAACTCATGCCTTCTGATCGTAATATAGCTGCACCGTCTGGTTCGTCTAGTCATTCAACACTGACACCAACCTGTGACTTACGTAATTATACCGGGGCTTCAATAACAGGAAGCTTGTGTATTGCCCGATCAGAGTTAAAGACATGCCACAAACTTATATCAAATTGCATGACTCAGTCTATGATGACTGCACCGAAACCAATCAACACGGTGAAATTCGGCCAAAAACCCGGTATTCCTTTGTTTGTGTTTTTTTTTTTTTTTTTTTTTTTTTGTATTTTAATCTTATATGTATCTTGAATGGTTTCAGTCTTAAAATCTTATGGTTCATTTCTTAAGTTACTTTTATTTGTAATTTGACTTATTCAAAAATAGTATGTGTTGCGGATTCCCTAATTTTTGTTGTCGATCGAGTGATGGTATAAAAACAGTAACAATAAATGTTGTGGACGTCATTTTAGTAGATCATACTTATTAAAGTAATTGTTTGGTATAGTATTGTTTTTATCAATCAACAATGTCTATTGCCTTTTCGTGAGGAGTGGTATGGCTCAGATAATATTCACATTTCAGATAATAATATTATTCATCAGTAAATAGTGTCCTAAAAATTATAGTTCATCGTCAGTCAGTGATACAGCGTCCAATAGCTGCTACAAAGACAACATCATCCATAGTGACTGAAATGCCGATTAAAACAGAGAAGCCTGTTCAAAAGCATGTTCCTCCACTGTATGTACAGAGATCTCGAATTGTGCAGTCTAAGTGAGCGTTCCACTAATTTTATGTTGTCAATGTAAGTAGTGCATTTGATTTTGCCAATTTTTAGGCCTCAGAGCAATTTTTTATTTCAGACCTGAGACAGAAATTCATTCTTTGCAAACGAAGCCCGCACCAGGACGACTACATAAGTCTGCTGAACTGAAAACCAATAATGAAGCCAAAGCTGAAGCTGTAATGAATAAATCACCAAGTGATGATATAAGTAAAGCAACCATAATTATGGGAAATGATGACATCGAAGTTCAAGATGACATAGCTATTGCTAGAAATAATATAGATATAAAAGAAGTCGTAAATTTAGTTCCTGACATTAACAAAATTAAAAAGTCAAATGAGAAATGCGTTATGGTGGGAGTTCCTGATGAGAAAGAGAGAACAAAAAATGTCGGCTATGTATCTGAAGTTGTGGAAAGCGATATACTGGATGGTAATGCTATGGAAGAGAAGATAATTCTTGATGCTGCGTTAGATTGCAAAACAGAAGCTACAACCGTTAAAGATGCTCCTTTGTTTGATCTTTCATTAGAAAACGATGGTAATTCTGTGAATGAGGCGAAAACGGACACTGCAGTTATGATGGTTAATGTGAAGAGAACCCAACTGCAGCGTGTTGTGAAAGTATCAGGTATAAATCGAGTGTATCCAGATTTATCGGAAGCTGAATTTGTTAGTGACGAACAAGAGGAAATGGTAAACGCAGTGAAGGTTTGTTCTTTAGTGGAGAATTCAAAACAAATGAAACAGAAAAGGACATTAATTTTGATTTCAGTGATTATCATTATTTCTGTTTCAGGTTTTGGTAGAGAAAGAATCATTGGTTGCGGATGAAAATCTTCCTGAAACTGGAGAGAACAGTAAACAGGAGAAGGTAGCCATTCAAAAACCTTACGGTATAGTGGAAGATAATGAAGAAAGTGATATGTCTACCACTGAAACCAGCAAATTTGACAAAGAAGAGTTTGAATCATCGGCTCAGAACAAGTCGACACTGAGTGCAAACGGAATAGAAACTATTACAGAAGATTTGAAATTGGTAGGAGAGAAAAATTCAGTGGAAGAAAGGCGTCGAATTCAAGACGAACTTTTAGAGAGGGAACAACGTGAGCGTGAAGTGCGCAAAGCTAAGCTAGTTTCTATTATGAGCCGAACACGTGGTGGTGCACCTTCAGTGGCTGTAATTCCGCCAGTTCTGCATAATGATAATTCTGAGGTGAATTCTTTTCATTTTTGTTATTATCTTTATTATTATTATGCTATTATCCTTGAGAATTGAATTAGAAATGAATCTAATTCACGGAAATCAGAATATTAGAATTGCCAGGACACAATATGATTTTTCGTGACCTGCTTAGCGAGAAATGCCGTTCATTTTATCTCTCTATTTCTTGAAAGTGAAGTAGATGCTATGCAAGTAAACATTTTTGATAAACATAAAAATAAGAAATTATGTAGGAATGGATAAAGTGCAGTCATCGATAGTTTATTATATTTCAGATTGAATCTCTAAAACATAGGGCTGAGATTTCTTTATCAAGTGAATGCACACCAGTGAAAAGTGTTCTCAGTCATACTACAGCTTCTGTTCTGCAGGTTAATTCTGTTTTTTACATCTGGAAATCTAATTTCGACCACCTATAGGTAAGTCATAGGTGTGCTATGGTGAGAGAAAAAGATTTTTTTTTTTTGCGGAGAATTTTTAATAACTTAAGAAAGTTAGAATTGAAATGTTCTTTAAAGTTTCTGAAATCTTCAGAAACTAGCTACAACGAACCCCAAATTGTTGTCTGTGCTGCAACGCAATGGCTCGAATCGATCATTAGCTGATGAGTTGTCTGCAGCTGATCCGTCGATGTCAGTAACACTTCCAGGTCAACCTGTTGATTCGATTGTAAGCCGCGAAGGTTCTACTACAATACGGCACTTGCCCTTCGAGCCCGATATTAATCATCGACCTGTTGCTATGAAATAACTTAGAATTTATTCTTACAAAAAGAAAAAAAGTTTTGGTTTCACTTAGTACCAGAATTTTTGATAACTTAAGAAAGTTAGAGTTGAAATGTTCTGTAAAGTTTCTGAAATTTTCAGAAACTTTAAAGCAGGTTCAAATCTCGGAGTCAGTCTCAAGGTAATATAAAAAAAACTGTTTAATTCGACAGTTTCTACGTAAAATTATAGTTTTTTTTTATACTTTAAAGATTGGTTAAGTATTGGAATAGATATTAACACAGTTAAGTTCCATTAGCTGAAATTTGTGAAGATTGGTCCTGAGTAAGAAATTACAACATAAACATATACATATTGTATAGAATTGCTGCTATTTATTATTTAAATGTAAATTTAATATGATGATTTGTATGCATAGTCGCACTGTGCGTGTTTTGTCGAATGTCTACTGGACGAGTGTTAGTTAATGTTACATTCGTTTGCTGTATATTTGAATTTTCGAATGCTTTATTACAACAGATGTTTTCTAAGAAATAATTATCTATTGAAATACAAATGAAAATTTTCTTAGAGGAAAGAAATTAGGAAGAGGAAGAAAAGGTTATTCTGATGGAATAATGTGTACGTTTTCCCGTTGAAATCCATTGATCTTAGGCGTAGCTGATCTACTATATGAGGATTTCATCACTGTGCATGTATCAAGCTGCTTTACATATTCATGAATATCATTTATGCATGATTATCAAGTGCTGAGATCATGCGCACCAGTTTTCAGCGATTACTGCATTTGGCCATTACTACTGTTTAATAATTTATTCTCAACTGAAAAACTTCATTTTTTTTTTTTTTTTTTGATTTTTATTTAGTTTCAAGTTGTTTAAATAATAGAGGCAGTATTCTGCAATTTTCTCACTGAAATGCATTATCAGTGATTTCTTTAATGAGTATTTACGGCTCAGGTGACATGGTGGTAGAATTAGGTGTTAGAAACCGGGAAGGAGGGTTGTAGATACTGAACAATCAAAGCAATTCTTGTATGCTTAAATTACAAGCCTTCTCAGCAAGTGTATAGCCTTTTTTGTTCAGATTAGATCTAAAAATATGCATTGAGATCATGTTTAGTTGTAGAAAATGTCGCCTTAGAAAGTACCCTGCGTTTTTGATGTCCCTCATCCATTTTAGTGTATCTTGCTTGTTCAAGTTGTTTATAGAATTGACTATTCTGTGTTTGGTGTTTTAAAATTAGAATTGGGTTCTAATTGTTTTTATGTACGTACGAAATAAACTTTTGAGTATTGCTAGCTATTTCTGTGGGACATTGTTGTGATTGTACTGCTTATCAGAAGATTAGAATTTCATGAAATTATGGGGAGATTGAATTGGATTGTAGATTGATGTGGAGAAACATTGAAGATAAAATCGTTTTGAATAGTGAAGAATGGGCGATAAGCTTCGATATGTAACCTTCTTTTTAGTCTGAACATGGAAGGAGTCAGATTTGAGGCATATGCAACTTAATTGCAATTCCAAAATACCCGGAACAAAGTTTGTGAAGGGTATATATTGATTTAGGAATGTGTGAATTATTGAGACAATGTAAATGGAGTCAGTTGATAGAAACGTGTCGTGGAATGTCATCACTTCCCATTCCATTGTCATTTGAAAAATTTGGTGGCCAAGCAAAGATCGAATGCGAAGTGTCACCAGTCGTCATTTTACATGGATTATTTGGACAGAAAACGAATTGGAGATCAATTGCAAGTAATTTGAGTCGTCTTTTAAGAACTGTTATATTTACATTGGACCTACGGAATCATGGTTAGTTTGCTAGGTCCAATGACCAATTATCGCTTCATAAAGCTACTTGCTTCTTTTATTTATGAAACTAAAACCGTATTAATCTCATTTCTTAAAACTTATATCTCACAGTTGGATTTATATCAGCTATAAGTTTTTTGGAATTTTTTTTGTGGCTTTTCTAAACAAATATTGAAATTGTAGCAAAATTTATTAAGTTGTCGTTGATATCTCTTGAGTTGCTGAAAAGATATTATGAAGTTAATATGGATTTCAGCAAGTCATCACATAGGAATAAGCTTACAAACATATTGATAATTTTTTCTTTAAAATTGTCTATATGCTAAACCTACCCAAATAGATTTTTTGGCTTTTAAAATGCTGACCAAAGGTAATGCCAGTAAATGTGCTTTTAAACGTAGGTATCAAATTACATAGTTTGTTTCTGATTTCTTAGTTTTAACAAACCAAGTGTTTTAACTAATGTATTTCATGATCTATTCTGCCTTTTATAAACAGAATAAAAGGCAAAAGGCAATAAAAGACAGAATAAAAATTTTATGTATACATAAATTTGTTATTGTCCTGAATTTTGATAAAGTATTTTAGACAAGTGAATTAGAGGATAGATATTCGTGAAGAAATTTGAGCTCTGTTCTTGAATTCAAGAACGAAACGAGTGTTTAAGTGACTTACCTCAATATGATCATCAGGATAAATTTCATTAGGATCACCAAGATAAATTTCATGACAGTTTATTCAATTATCAGCGAAGACATTCCAGTTTGCAATTTCCACATAATATGTAATAATCCTTCTGCAATTACAGTTTGATTTTAACTCGAAAAAGTTTTCCATAGAATTGATTTTTCAGTAAACTCCCTTGACTGTTGTTACTGCCTTATGTTCTGACAATTTATTTATTATTTTTTCAGGTAATTCCCCATGGCATCCTACAATGACCTATGCTGAGATGGCAAATGACGTACAGTATTTTATCGACGAAATAATACCGCAACAAATAGGAAGTTTTTCAAAAGTTCATCTTCTTGGACATTCAATGGGTGGAAAAACAGCAATGCGTGTTGCTTTGATGAAAGGTAGCGACGTACGACTGGAATCGTTGATTGTAGAAGATATAGCTCCAAAGGCATACAATTTTTCAACTTTTTCGAGAATCATTAGAGTTATGAAATCTATCGATTTGACTTCTGGTCGTGCTGGAATTGAACAAGAATTGGCATTAACAGTTGCCGATAAAACGACGCGACTGTTCTTGTTGACGAATTTGGTACTCACAGATCAGCACACATATAGCTGGCGATTAAATTTAGATTCCATTGCATATCACATTGAAGAAATTTGTGGTAGCGCTGGTATAGAGAATAAGAGTGCATATAATGGAAGGTGTTTGTTTGTTTCAGGCGGAGTTTCAAATTATGTCATGCCTAGTGATCATGCTTTAATTTTGAAACATTTTCCGAATACACAATTTTCGGTGATTCCTAATGCATCACACTGGGTTCATGCCGAAAAACCCCATGAATTTACCGATATTATTACTAAGTTTATTCTTTCTGTTGGAAGCACAAAAGAGAGGTCTCAAAGAAATTGAAGAACATGTGAAAAGTTAGCATGAAAAGAAAGAGGCCGCTATATTATTTAGCAGAAAAAGTCTCTGTGGTAAGTTCTTATCAAATTTGAATTAAGCTGTGATTTGTTTCGCTTTTTTTCTGTTTTTCTGTTTAGGTAAGGTACTATTGTTTTCATTAAAAACGATATTTTGGGTGCTCGAGTTTTTCCATTATTAGGATGATCATTTCGATTACTATCATTCGACGACATTTTGTCTCATTCTGATGATAACTATTTTGATTAATCAGTGCCCTTTTATAAATGCAGTAAAAATGGATAAAGCATTCATGACCTCGCTATGATAACCAGATAACACGTCCTGATGTTGAAAGGTGAAATGATTATCAATTTAAAGACTTCCTCAATGCTTGTCTTCAAGAATGTATCCATTTTTGTATCGTGACATCATTTTATATTAATATGTATAATGCATAATGATCTTTAAGTATAGTACAAAGCCTAACTTCGTGTTAATAATTATGCTTTACTTTCTCTATTCATCAGATAAAAACATGGAAATTGGCCTTTACTGCTTTATTGACAATTGATTAACGATTGTTAAAACTATTTCTATTATTTTATTATTCAACTATGCAAGATGAAAAAAAAAGATGAAATTACTCAACAGCTAGACTTTGCGATCTGTCATGTATTAAAGAAATAAGAGCAATACTCTTATACGTGCGGTAGCCGAAGATTTCCTCTTATGACATAATCAACAATTTAACCAAGAAGGTTACCCAATAATAAAGGTTTATTGTTTCAAAAACTACAGCTTTCCACTAAAACTTTTTCCCACCAAATTATGCCCTAAAAAGTACTATGTTAAAAATATGACAGTCCATTCACCTTTCAACATCAGAACCTGTTATCTGGTTATCATAGCGAGATCATGAATGCTTTATCCATTTTTACTGCATTTATAAAAGGGCACTGATTAATCAAAATACTTATCATCAGAATGAGACAAAATGTCATCGAATGATAGTAATCGAAATGATCATCCTAATAATGGAAAAACTCGAGCACCCAAAATATCGTTTTTGATAAAAATAATAGCACCTTACCCAAACAGAAAAACAGAAAAAAAGCGAAACAAATGAACTGACTGTAGTTTACCTTACTTAAATCACATCTGCTAAAGAAAATCAATTTTTGAAAAGAAATTCTGAGCAAGATATAGCGACACATTTATAGAAGTACAACAGAGCAATATTATTACAATCTATCATAATGAGCTGAGCTCTAATGCACTTCATAGTTGAAAACAGTCAGGCGTTTTTTCGAAATATTGCAAATGGCATTTGATGAATGTAGTGAGAAGATATTAATAAAACTTTTTTTTCTGACAAACATCTAGTTAGCGAGCGCTTCTGAACAAATTTCAGCGATAATGTGGGACTTGCTTCCTAAAACAGATTCTCTTGTAAAACAGAGTTGTTCAACAATAGTCAGAGATAACGAACGAAAACTTGAAACATGTTAACAGTTTATATTTCGTTTCAAATTCGTTGCGATTTATGATTACTAGTGTCAAAACTTAATTTTTTTATCATTGTACCTTCATTTATCTCCTTACTTGATTTTATTATTTTTTCAACCCATTATATTCTGTTCCTCTGACAATAATTGCAATAATCATTGAATTAATGAAATATTAATTACTTGACTTATTTGGCTTCTATTATCACACCTTTAAAATGTATATTTTAAGTTTTAGATTCTCTAGCTAATTGTTAAGCCTTTGTAGTTCTCAATTAAATGATTTCTTGTTTTCTTTCAAGCTTGTATAAAGTGTTTTCAAATTATTATTTTACGTATTGATTGTTTTCTAGAAATGGATAAAGATATCCTTGCTAAAAGATTGAAGAGAATTTATGTTCATTAAATTCAAAGTTAAACTTGCCAATTTAACTTGCTGTTCATTTGATAAATGAATTCGGTATGGATATGGAGTAGATGAATATGTCATATTCCTAATTACTGAGAATGTTATTTCAGTAGAGATGAGAAAAACTCAAAAAATAACTTTTTATAATTGTTGTCATAGGACAGCGAATCTTTAGTATTGTAAAAACTCTCTCAACAGGTGTCAGTAGTAGATAATGCAAGAAGCTAAATCTCAACATTTTCGGGAACTGTCTCGAAGATTATCGGATACTGGGCGAGTACAGTAATTCACTTCATAAATTTGCGTCATTTTTATCATGTAATAAGCTATAAATACTCGTCAGGCCGGCATTTTTTTTTTTTTGACGATTGGCGTAGATAAATATTTCGTGATGATGGTTTTTAATTATCAAAGAATCTTCTTTCTTATCACTGGTAGGGAACATTCAGTAAAAACTGACTGTTGTATTTAGAGGGTATCTAATGAGCGTACAGATAATAGCACTGAGTTAAACCGAATCGAAGCGCATTGCTGATCTAACCACTGAATAGAATTTGATTAACAAATCAAAAGATGGGAGTTGGATAATTAATTCGTCATTTTAGGCATCGAAACGTTTGTTTCATTTTTTTGTGTATAATGAATCGTTTATCTGGGAAATATTCTAAACCATTTTTATCATTTTGATAAAATATACTGTAAATATACTTTATACTAAAAATTTCTATTTATCAATTTACTTTGACATATTTGTATTAAAAGCATATTTCGGTTTATTATTTCGTCTTTATAAATGATGATATTATTCTGGAAAAGCTTATAAAGTCATCGTTTTACTTAGATAAGAAGATATAGATTTCACCGGTTTCATCATTTGGCAACATCTTTGCTATCCTTATTTTTATCATACAAATATGTCAAATTATTCCCACGAGCTATTATTTAAATTTTTTGCAAACATATGAGATATTACATTTGGAGTCCCACAAAATAAATGGAAAGCTTTCTCATTCAATCAGTTATTTCTGTACCTTACAAATCCCATATATTTGCAAAAAGTCCAAATAGTAGCTTTCATATCTCAAATATATAGATATAAAGAAATATATACATAATTTGTTTTGACACTGCTATTATCATCTACGTTTGCATTAAGTAAGGACGGAAGTACAATATATTTGAGATTTTTACTATGTTGAACTTCAGTTACAAAGCCTTATCCTCCCTAAATCGCTACATGCTGACATGCTAGGCTTTTTGCTCAGTTTTATTAATCATCACTGATTCATAGCTTACGTTATTAAGTCTTCTATACAACTCTTATCATTGTGAGCTTTAGTTTATCTTTTAAGCAATGAAATTAGAAATAAAAACAAATGATTTATAGTGCTGCAAAAGACCATACAGATTTTACACTGACTATTTGCGCTACAGTATTGGCGTTGTGTTTACTCTCAGATGAGTGATTTCTGATTGTTGGAGTTTAGTGGTGGGCAGGTTGGTCGTGAGCCGCGGGAGTTACTACGGAAGATTCAGAGTGTATGTAATCTTGGTGATGTTTCGTGTGATTTATCTTGTTGCACCATTTAATGTGTTATCATTTCTGCGTTGATCTGTTTGTTAGGCTTCATTCGTATAAACTAATGAATATCTATTTTGATATTGCGTTTTATCGTTAGGGCGATTAGTTATGAATATATAATAGCTATCCATGAACTAATAAATGGATTGACTGGTCGTACAATGAGTTACAGTAATGCAACCGTCGATACTGCATTATATTCATCATCCTATCACCCTGATATTTTGTTTGTTAACTTATCTAGGGTAGGAAAAAAGAACTCAGGATAATTTTAATAATTATCAGCAGCAAAGCATTGTCATTCATTGTTTCAGATTTGAAATTTTTGAATATCTCCGTTGTAGGTAGAGGTAACTCCTTTTTATGGACTTTGATTTTCTATTAATACTGTAAGTAGAGGCTAAGTAAGGTCATGATAGGTTCGAAGGGTGGAGCTTTTTACAGCAAATGTTATCACCAAAATTTTATGAACAGATGTTACAGACAACTTATGATTCTATAAATATGAATTCGACATGTGGAAAGATCTAAAAATAATGGTGATGCTGTTTAAATGATTTTTATTCATTGTCACGAGTTACGCCGATCTTTCTTCTGTCACTTTAATTTTATGCTGTGGAATATCTGCTCGAAAGTTAATTTCTCGTCGATTTTTCAGCTTCTATTAGCTATTGAAAATGGCAGCAACACCAATTGCTACAGCACAAGGAAAAACGATGACACTTAGTGAGTTACGTGTTTTCGAACTTAAGCAAGAATTAGAAAAACGTGGACTGGACAAAAGTGGAATTAAACTAGCACTGGTAGAACGTTTAGAGGAGGTTTGTTTTGTGCATTTGTACGAAGGAAGAAATTTATTGGTCTTGGTATTCTTTGAATTGAAAAAACTGTACATTTGAGATTATGTCAAGCTGCGCCATTAAAAAATTAAATTCAAGATAATCCTTATGAATAATGCACATATGACACATGCCAATATTGATCCTGAGAAATTAGCATTACACACAAAGTAGCATATACACCACCACTTTGTTCGATCTCTTAGGTCATATTAATAAGCTGCTAACAGACTGAAAGTAAACCTCTAGAGCAAGTCATAAACAAAAGGGAATAACTTGAGGAATATTGGTAAAATAATCTTGTTGTCATAAAGCGGCAAATCTTTTCAAATACATATGTAATTTCGGGGAGTTGCTCTTTACAAATTTTCGATAATCAAATTTTTTTGTGTAAATATAGTCCTAAACTGTTTTCCTTCAAGGCTCTTCGAGAAGAAGGACATGACCCAAAGATTTACAAGTTTCTGGTTAATGATTATGGCAAAACTCTGACGATTCCCTCAAAAGGTTCTTTTAACGAGACAGTGAGGGAAAATCAGTTCAGCTGTAGTAGTCACAAAAGTTAGAGCTTATCGTTCTTCATTTTGTTTAATGATCATTTTTTAATATCTGTAATCAGCTTTCTCTTCCAATTACCTTTATCCTCCTTTCAGTTTTATTTTCTTTTA